TCAATTCTCAGATCCCAAAGGTTGTTATCGTGTTAAGTGAAAAGTATTTCATATAAATAAAATCACAATTTTGTTATAAAAATAGATTTATTTATAATAACCAATAATTAATAATAATAATATGTAACATGCGTGACAATAATCAATGAATATCCAGTATAAAATGGTATACAATGCAATACAATGGTTATACACGTTTCAATGGCTAAACAACATTTTCTGTTAAGACTTACACGATTTATGACTATCTTTCACAGAGAGAAAGCGAAGCTTTTCACAGCGAAGGGCCATAAAACCCTGGCTAACAGTTAGATCACCTGAATAACCCTTTCAATGCTGGCTAGATCTCCTAGGTAATTAATATCTATTCTTATGTAATTTTAAATAAAATAACATTTAAACCAGTTCATTAGTCATTTCCTGGAACCATCCAATAAGAGAATCTACCATATTATATAAGCAGATTTTAATTTGTCTAAAAGATATCTTATCTTATATTAGAGCAAATCAATACACCTGGATAAAAACAGCGGTATGCTAACACGTGATAATATCACATCAATATATAATTATTCTTAATTCCACCTGCAGAATGGAATGTTTATAACTATATATTCTTTAGTTAACTAAGATTTCTTAACATGGAAATCTGACCGTGATTTATCCAGTCATATATCATGCTATTAGTAAATTTTAATTAATTTAATTAATTAAATAAAACCAGTATAATTACCAGTTGGGTAGATATTTCATCCGATTGGTAGTTAGTCTCAGGAACTTATTTGGATGTCTCTCTGCATGGAGGTGTGTAGGAATTTCTGAGTATCCTAGAGTGTCATTGCTCCCCACTGCTCACTTCTTTGCTTTCTTTTTCCTTTTCTCAACCCCCTTGTCTTCCCTATGTCCTAACTTTTAAAGGGAAAATTCACTAGTTGCTAGACCAATAGAAACACTGGGGGTGTGGTTATCTAGGGATCGCAATTTAGGTATTTGGTCTATAGAGGGCAGTCTTGTCCCACTAAACATACCTATCCAGGAAAGAGTTAACTTTTCCTGGTGGCTATTTTGACGTCATTTTGGCTTATCTTTATAGTGGCCATAATTTAAGTTTTCTGTCAGATCAAACAGTTTCTTTAAGTTTTGTCCAGACTTAGTGTCCGCAATTCCTGCTATAATTTCTAAAATGGCAGTTCATGAACTATGTTTCACCTTAAACTTACAATGGGATCTTGTACATATAGAAAGTAAAATTTTATTATTTAATCTCCTCTGTCACAAATGTCTGTGTTTAGATATGCATCTATTCCATTAACATTTTAGACAGTCTGTCCGACCCCCATTCTCCTTATCATTTGGTTTGTATATACTATGCATTCCTTTAGCTCTGGGAAAGTGGTTAGTTTTACAGAAAGGATAGAACTTTCGTGTCTCTTTGTTAACTTGAAAATAACAAAATGGAGTCTGGTCTGTTCAGAGTGACTCAGCATATACACTTTTAATTTCTATCATAGCACAAGATGTCTGCCGATATAAATACCCTGACAGGTTCAGTGGTTGTGGTGTCTGCTGCAGTGCTTGGAGTCCTCAGGAAGCGCTAGGAGTATCCTTCAACGGAGGTACCCAGTCGGGGTGCCCTGTGATCCGTTACATTGGTGGCAGCGGAGGGATGGCGTCCTAGTACGAGGTAGAGCAGCTCAGAGACACCGTTCATGGAGTTACAAATTGAGGGCAACGCTAGCACTCGTGCAGCGCCCCTGGGAGCAGAGGTATCCAGCAACTGGGATCAGACAGGTATGGAAGGCTCTGGCTCTGAAGAGCTTTTATGAAAAAAAAAAATTTTATGCTTTTTTTTATAGGGATCAGATGTAAAAAGCTTTGAATTTAAACCAGATACAGAACACTTCTGACCGAATGATACCCGTTTGATCAGGTCGACCGAATTCTGACTGGAATTAACTTCAGTAAGTATGAAAATTGCCATTTCAGTTGAAAATCTGCAGTTTTCAAAAGACTTTGTACATACAGTGAGTAACCCCATAAGTGCATTTGATAGATTTTTGCCTCATATTCATGCTACATTTTTCACAACATTCAAATCTCTTTAGTTTTGTTAACCCCTTCACGACCGCTGACGGTCCAGGACCGTCATCGGAAAAATACCCCTTAGGACTGATGACCGATGACTTACCTGATTGCCGCCGTTCCCTCGGCGGTGATCGGCGTTGCTCCCGGTGTGGAGGGACTGCCTGAAACCCCAGGCAGTCCCCCACTTGACAAATTAGGCCCCCACGACCATGTGATCACTCTAACACAGCGGTCACATGGCCGCAATAGGTGCATGTGTATCTGCCTGCAGGGGGACTGCCTGTGCTGACAGGCAGTCTCCCTGCATGTGTAAAATAAATAAAAAAATGTTAATAAATAAAAATATAATTAGATATGTGTGTGTCCAGAGCATCTCGATACAAACATCTGAGCATGTGAACAGGTTAATCACCAAGGACACAGTGAAAACATCCAACTGGGCATTGGGACTTTGAGATTTAACTCACTGGAGCACAAACCAATGTGAAGAACAAAGTGTTAATTGTGTTGGACTGGAGCATTTTACAAAGGAGTATTATTTGATGTGGAAGGACTGAACGAGTTAATTGTGTGCTTGTTTTATAGTTTAAAATACAATTCTCGTTCGCATTGTTCCCTGACCTGGTAACCCAGGTCAGTGTGACCGACCATGAGCGCACCTTTTTCTGTAGAGTTTTCTGGCACATAATATTAAGATATGTAATTATAGGAAAAGCTCAACTGAAAGTTTGTGAGAAGTAATGTGGTATAAAAAGTACTGGGTTCTCTTTAAGGGAAGAAAATCCATTCCCACACCAGATATATATAATCATATATAACATACAGAGACACAGACAGACATACACATACAGAGACACAGACACACACACACACACACACACAGAGACACAGACACACATACATACAGAGACACAGACACACATACAGAGACACAGACACACATACATACATACAGAGACACACACATACACATACCGAGACACAGACATATAGAGACACACACACACATACATACAGAGAAACACACACACATACACCAGATGTTTCCTACATTGTTACTTTCCCTGGGGTCCAGTGGTGGCTCAGCCTGATGGGAGTCAGAGTTCCCACTCTGACTCCCTCCTCCTCCTTCCTCCCGCGCGGGCTCAGTATGCTGGGAGGAGTGACCGGGGAATCACTTCCTCCCAGCTCTGATGTAATCACAGGGAGCCAGGTCACACTCTTAAAGCACTCAGCGCAGACCGGGCCCCCTCACAATCCATATCCATCGGGTGGCCCTGACAGCATGGGCCGGTGTACATATCGCGACACTCAAGTAAGCACTTGCAGTGATCTTGCGAAGACAAAGTATTTTCCTCAATTTCTCTTCTGTCTTCTGATAGACGGACAAACCCTAGATTTGTATCAAACCAGGCTCCCAGATAGATCATCTGTTGACTGGGTTGGAGTTAACTTTTCTGGAAAGTCAGAACCCAACCTTGGTTCTCCAAGATCAATCTGGCGATGTCTCGATGGGCAATCAATGATGAGTAATTCTTTGCCAATATCAGGATGTCGTCCAAGTAGTGGAAAATAAAGATACCCTTCTTCCTGATTTCTGCAATCAGGGAAACTAGGACTTTGGGAGAACACCCTGGGTGCTGAGCTGAGGCCAAATGGAAGGGCCCAGTGTTTGTTGTTCAGACAGAACCTCAGGAACCTCTGATGTACACCGGCGATTGGGATGTGGAAATAGGCATCCTTGAGATCGATGGAAATTAACCAATCGCCTGGAGATACTGCCTGGATGATGGAGGCTATTGATTCCATCCTGAATCGTCTGGCACACAGAATGGTATTGAGGATGGACAAATCCAGGATTGGCCTCCATGCATCCTTGCCTTTTGGGGCAAGAAAAAGCCTTGAGTAGAATCCCTGAAATCAACCTTCGGATAGTGTGGCTCCAAGTCTCCGAGAAATGAAGCAATCTAGCACCTATTCCTGGAAACTGAGCCTGGAAGCAGTCAGAATATTTTATTCTGGCGGGCATTTGACCCTGCCCCTTCCACCTCTATGAGAGGAATGACCGGCCTTCCATGGATGGCTCTGAAATGACTGTCTTCTAGGTCTGTATTGCCTTGAGTCTCTGAATGACCTCATGTCAGCATTAGAAGATCTTGCTCCTGTTACATGGCAATAAGGCTTTATTGCCTTCTGCAGCCTTTTTCAATGCACTCATCCAGCTGACGTCCGAAAAGCATGTCACCCTGAAAAGGTAGTGAGCAGAGACTATTCTTGGATGTGATGTCTGCATCCCAGGCCTTAAGCCAGAGTGCTCTACGGCCAGCAACATTGAGGGCCATGGACCTAGCTATGGAGCGTACCAGATCCACAGAGGCATCAGAGCAAAAATCTGCCACAAGATTAATGTCTTCTACAGCTCAGATGAGACATGATCTTCTCACTCCATCCTTGATGTCAGCTTCCAGATCCTCTGCCCATTGCTGAAAGGCCATGGAAACTGAAGTCAATGCAGCTGCTGGGTGCAGACTAGCTCCTGCTGCCAGGTAGGCCTTGGAAAGCTTAGTATCAGTCCCTTTCTCTCAAAGAGCCAGAGTCATCCAGAGGCAAGGTGGTCTTCTTGGCCAGTCTGACCACCTTGGGAGCCAAGATCCAAGAGGCAGAGTGAGCTTTCTTGAATGGGTATAGCTTGGACCACTTACCCGTTTCTCAGATTTACCCCACTCATCATGAATAAGGGTCTTTATGGTCTCATGGAGGGGAATAACTGTTTCTTTTCTCTTGAGACTAGCAAAGTGCTTGCTGCATGGGGTACTTGAACTGAGGATTCCTCCAAACTTAGGGTCTTCCTCACTGCCTCAATGAGCGCTTCAGTTTTCCTTTCATCAAACACCCCTGAATATGGGAACTCCTCATCATAAGATGACTGGGTATTCTGTAGGAAAATGACTCATCTCATAGGAGTCCTCCATAGAGCTCTCACTGTCAGAGATCTTTCTCCTTGTAGGCTTAGAATACCTGGCAGACTGAGTGGCTTCCTTAGCACCTTCTGCCACAGCCTGTTTGATGATGGAAATCACATCAGCTGGATTGGCCATTACAGGATGAGCTACTGGTGGATCAGCAACCAGTTTCATGAAGGCTATGCAAAGCCGTTTCCATTCTGCCGCCTCATCGTCACATGCATTGCACTTATTAAGCCTTGGTCCCCTGTCCTTAGGTGAAACCAGGGATCTCCTTGGAGACCTGAGGGAACTAACATAATAACATGACAGAAGGCACTCTTTTGATTCCAAATTGAGGTATATATTTAAAAATTTAAAAAATTTAAAAAATGATTTGACATACCTTGTACCTCTAGATTGTGACCTATTTCTTTTCTTGGCTGGTGAGGCCATGAAGATACAATACCTGAGCAGCTGGAAAGAGATCGCCCGTTAGGGAGTAATAGCTAGATAAAACAAAAATCTTTGTAATTCACCTAATGCAAGTTAAAAAAAATAATCATAAGGAATTCCACAAAAAATAGAACTTACCTTATTGCATAAAAAGGAAAACCAAAAAGATCTGCAGAGATCAGAGCACTGTATAGCTTGCAGGACACATAACCTCAGATTGCCTCCAGACTCAATAGGAGGAAAAACAAACAAACATTTAAATGAGAAAAAAACCGCGGGAACAAAATTGGCGAATTCACCCAAAATTTGTCCGAATTCAACCAAATTCAACCGAATTTTGACCGAAATTGGCCCAAATCAAAGGTCACATCCGGCAAAGGCTGCCTGACCTGGAAGTACTTACTGTTAGGCGCCAAAAATGCTAACAGATATGAAATTCACATCTGTCAAGCTCTGTAAGAGTTCCTCAGCTGCTAGGAAGTCTGGAACCTGTTCCCATCAGCAGAAATACGGTACCCATAAGTATTTATCCGACATTGCAAGGTTCCTAGCTGCTACCCAAGGGTCACTGCAGCATGCACCCCTGGTCACTAAGGGGGGTTTTGCAGGGGGGTCGCCCTTGGTGATGCACTGTATACCGCAACTTCTGGGAGAAGAGAGGCTGAACTAATCCCAAGAAAAGGAACTAACAAGTCCCAGGTATGTCAAAAAGAAAAAGTAGGATAATGAAATATCAAACAGAGAAAATCCAAGGGAGTGTGGACAGGAAAAGAACTGGGGAATTATGGTCATGTGGCCTTTTATGGGCTAAAATTTAGTCCTATCCAATGGGTGTGAGGGGCGAAGCTAACCCTGGAGTAGTGCTGCCATGGCCATGAAATATGTATATGTATTTGATCTAAGTACTTTTATATGCACATACACACAAACTATTATTCTAAGTGTATTTTAATATTCATAGATATATAATTATATAATTATATATATATATATATATATATATATATATAAATAATCAATAAGAAAATTAAAAAAAATTAAAAAAATTATTTAAAAAATAATAAATAACATTTAAAATAAATTATATACCTGTATACTTTCGTTCTAACTGTATTTTGATATTAATATACATATATAATTAAATCAAAATACATTTAGAATGACGTTATAAATACATATATGTATCTATATATGTATATATAAATATATATCTAAATATACAAAGAAACAAATCCTGCGCTCAAACTCCCATTACTCCTGGGCGGCAGCAACAACCATAGTATACACCAGCCCAAATATATATAGTAAAAACCAAAGAAAAAAGTTACCTGCGCTCTTTCCACATCCCTATGTATTTTTAAACAAATGGAGGTTTTTAGTTACCTCCAATGGCCATGAGAGGGTATGCCCACCTGCCATGTCAAGGCAGACCTCTTAGGTGGGTCCTAACTCAAGGCAGAAAATCCAGAGAATATGGTTCACAAGCCCTATATTTTACCCTATAACTTTCCAAGACACCATAAAACCTATACATGGGGGAAGGCCCGGACTTGCGATGTCCATGGGCCGAGGCCGGCAGAGGAGGTCCCAGGATCTCCCCTGCCGGTCTTTGCAGGGCTGGCACTCTCCTAGCACCGGCCCCGCTGTTTGCCACGACAGGCCGGTGGGGAGATCAAAAATCTCCCTCACCAGCCCAAATGCGGCCGCCGGCGGGGAGGGAGGGAGACAGCCGTCAGGAGAGGAGGACCCGGCGGAGCTCTAACTTGCAGCTCCACCGGGTTCCTCTCGCGAGATCCGGCGCATTTCCATGGCAACGACCGGATCTCGTGAGAGTGAACTCTAGCCTTACAGGCTAGAGTTCACTCACCCATGAGGACCACCAGGGAACACCGCCACCCAGTCCCAGCGTGCCGGACCCCCCCTCCCTTCTTACCTTTAGCCTGGGAGGGGGGGTCCGGCACGCTGGGACTGGGTTTATTTACCCCCCTACACACACACACAATAACATTTATACAGCACTCTCACACCCATCGCACTCTCTCACACACAGCACTCTCACACCCATCACACACAGCACTCTCTCACAGCACTCTCACACCCTTCACACACAGCACTCTCTTACAGCACTCTCACACACAGCACTCTCACACACAGCACTTTCACACACACAGCACTCTCACACACACAGCACTCTCTCACAGCACTCTCACCCACAGCACTCTCACACCCATCACACTCTCACACCCACAGCACTCACAGCACTCTTTCACAGAGCACTCTCACACACACAGCACTCTCACACCCATCACACACAACACTCTCTCACAGCACTCTCACACCCATCACACACAGCACTTTCACACACACAGCACTCTCACACAGCACTCTCACACAGCACTCTCACACACAGCACTCTCACACCCATCACACACAGCACTCTCACACCCATCTCACACACACACGGCACTCTCACACACACGGCACTCTCACACACACACCGCACCCCTCACACACACACATACTGCACCCCTCACATACACACAGAACCCCCCCAACACACTGCACCACACACATACACAATACTTCCATACTTCCAAATATATATATATATATATATATATATATACACACACACACACACTACACTCTTAACATACACACTCTGGATCCCCTATACACACACTAGATTCCTTGTAAGCAAACACATACTACACCCCTCACACACACACACACTATAGCCTGTATGCACACACTTGCTATATCCCCAATACACACATTCTCTACAGCCCATAGCCACATATGCATCACATTACACCACAAACACAACACGACTAAAACCGACCTTATTACACAATACCACACCACGACCAGCTCACTCTACATACACGCAATACCACAAGCAGGCTCCAAACACATGCACAATACTCTTTCCTGGCCCTTTTGTCTCCTGGTATCCATTTATAGAGACACCAGAGACAAGTTGCAAGGAAACACAGTGCAAGCATGTTATTAAATTTGCTTGCACTGTGCAGATCAAATACAGGACTTTTTTCTCATGCTAGAGCTCTTCAGCAGAGCTCTGCGCATGGTCTGTCCTGGAAGAGCATTGAACCAACATGCTCACTTTGAGAGGAGGCATGTTTGTCATTGGTGATGACAAAACACACCTCCTCTGCCCCACCCCTTTTTAGTGGGCCGCTGTGTTAAAAAAAATGCCTGGGACGAATTTTTCTCCCAGTCCGGCCCTGCATGGGGGGTACTGTTTTATTCGGGAGACTTCACTGAACACAAATATTAGTGTTTCAAAACCATAAAACATATCACAACAATGATATTGTCTGTGAAAGTGCAGTTTTTTGCATTTTTCACATACAAATGACACTTTCACTGACGATATAATTGTTGTGATAAGTTGTAATGTTTGGAAACATTAATATTTGTGTTCAGCGAAGTCTCTCAAGTATAACAGTACCCACCATGTACATGTCTTATGGTGTTTTCAAAAGTTAGAGTGTAATATAAGACTTGCATTTCCATTTTTTCACATTAAAATTTGTCAGATTGGTTTTGTTTCCTTTGAGACCGTATGGTAGCCCAGGAATGAGAATTACCCCCATGATGGCATACCATTTTTTACACACAAATTAGAATACTAACTTTGGCCAGTGTTTGTGACTAAGTGGCTACTAAAAAAAGATTGGACATACCCCATTTATAATACCTTGGGTTGTCTACTTTTGCAAATGGTATACTATCATGGGGGTATTTTTCATTCCTGGGCTACCATACGGTCTCAAAGGCAACATAACCAGTCTGGCAAATTTCAGTGTGTATAAACTAAGAAATGTAATGTGCTAAATTTGACCCTGTAACTTTCCAAAACACTTTAAAACCTGTACTTGTGGGGTACTATTTTACTCATGAGACTTCACTGAATGTGCATTTTATTGCAGTAACAGCTAACAGTATTATGACATTTACAGTTAAAATGCCATGCAGTACTAAAGAAATAAAAAAAATCTTAATTTGTCATTTAAAAAAAACATTTTATTCATATTAAACTATGTTTAATATATAAATATTTGATGTGACATGAAAGTCCTGTTTCTCCTGAACAAAATGATATATAATAAGTGTGGGTGCATTTAATATGAAAGAGGTGAATTACGGTTTGACAGACATATAGCGCAGATGCCAGGTTTTGTTTACGTTTTGATCACAACTTGTACAACTGGCTCAGTCCTTAAGGAGTTTTAACCCCTTCAGGACCGGACTGTTTTGGTCATGTTGTACGTTAAGAACCAGGGCTGTCTCAACATTTTTGTGGTGTTTGTATTTAACTGTAATGTTCCTCTCTCCCATTTACTGTCCCCATACAAGTTATATATTGTTTTTTTATAGGACATACTGTGGAATTACTGGGTGGCCACCATTTCATGTATCAGAGGCACATGGTGAGAACAATGGATGAAGCACATGGTGAGAACAATGGATGGCGGCCATTTTAACTCACAGACACTGTTTTGACTTTTCTACACAGTGGCATCTCGCCGGTATTTGGTGCACAAAGACATCGTTCAGTAGTTTTAAACTACAGAACAGGGGACACATTTAACAGTAATTATTTTTCATATAGCCTGTATATGTTCTGCGGAATCTGCATTAAACCGTATCTTCCAAACTACTGAACGGATCTGGGTGAATTTTGGATATGTGGTTCACCCAGATCCCCCGGTTCCAATGATATATTTATGGGGTTATTGCATGTTTTGGGGTCCCTGTGATATGTTTTATAATACAGTATTTCTCTGCCTGTGATAATTAAATTAACCATTGTGTTCAGTAATCATATCACAGGCAGAGGGGAGGATTTTGTGTGGGAGTGTCTGTGTGTATTGTACGGATTGATTAGTTGTATTTCAAAACCCTGTGGGCAGTACTATGTTTGTAGAATGTGAATAAAACAGACTGTATGTGCCAGTACAGTCAGTTCTTCTTCA